ACAGGTAACGTCACAGATTCAGGAGTCGACAGGGACACTGGGGAAAGGTGACAACATCAACATCACAGGTAACGTCACAGATTCAGGAGTCGACAGGGACACTGGGGAAAGGTGACAACATCAACATCACAGGTAACGTCACAGATTCAGGAGTCGACAGGGACACTGGAGAAAGGTGACAACATTAACATCCCAGGGACAACCACAGATACAGGAGTCGACAGGGACATTAGGGGAAATTGTCAACATTATCATCGCCGGTAATGTCACAGATACATGAGTCGACAGGGACACTGGGGAAAGGAATCAACATCCCAGGGAATGTCACAGATACATGAGTCGACAGGGACACTGGGGAAAGGTGTCAACATTACAGGAAACGTCATAGATACAAGAGTCGATAGGGACACTGGCGAAAGGTATCAACATCCCAGCAGGAGTCGACAGGGACACTGGGGAAAGGTATCAACATCCAAGGTAACGTCAAAAGATACAGGAGTCGACAGGGACACTGGCGAAAGGTATCAACATCACAGGTAACGTCATAGATACAGGAGTCGACAGGGACACTGGGGAAAGGTGCCAACATCACAGGTAACGTCACAGATACAGGAGTAGACAGGGACACTGGGGAAAGATATCAACATCCCAGGTACCGTCACAGATACAGGAATCGACAGGGACACTGGGGAAAGGTGTCAACATCACAGGGAACGTCACAGATACAGGAGTCGACAGGGACACTGGAGAAAGGGGACAACATTAACATCCCAGGGACAACCACACATACAGGAGTCGACAGGGACATTAGGGGAAATTGTCAACATTATCATCGCCGGTAATGTCACAGATACTCGACAGGGACACTGGGGAAAGGTGTCAACATAACAGGTAACGTCATAGATACAGGAGTCGACAGGGACACTGGGGAAAGGAGTCAACATCACAGGTACCGTCACAGATACAGGAGTCGACAGGGACACTGGAGAAAGGTGACACCATTAACATCCCAGGGTCAACCACAGATACAGGAGTCGACAGGGACATTAGGGGAAATTGTCAACATTATCATCGCCGGTAATGTCACAGATTCATGAGTCGACAGGGACACTGGGGAAAGGAATCAACATCCCAGGGAATGTCACAGATACATGAGTCGACAGGGACACTGGGGAAAGGAATCAACATCCCAGGGAATGTCACAGATACATGAGTCGACAGGGACACTGGGGAAAGGAATCAACATCCCAGGGAATGTCACAGATACATGAGTCGACAGGGACACTGGGGAAAGGTATCAACATACCAGGTAACGTCACAGTGACAGGAGGCGACAGGGACACAGGCGAAAGGTGTCAACATCCCAGGTAACGTCAAAAGATACAGGAGTCGATAGGGCCACTGGCAAAAGGTGTCAACGTTACAGGTAACGTCACAGATACAGGAGTCGACAGAGACACTGGGGAAAGGTATCAACATCCCAGGTAATGTCACAGATACATGATTCGACAGGGACACTGGGGAAAGGTATCAACACCCCAGGTAACGTCACAGATACAGGAGTCGACACGGACACTGGGGAAAGGTGTCAACATCACAGGCAACGTCACAGATACAGGAGTCGACAGGGACACTGGGGAAAGGTGTCAACATCCCAGGTAACGTCACAGATACAGGAGTAGACAGGGACACTGGCGAAAGATATCAACATCCCAGGTACCGTCACAGATACAGGAATCGACAGGGACACTGGCGAAAGGTATCAACATCCCAGGTAACGTCACAGTGACAGGAGGCGACAGGGACACTGGCGAAAGGTGTCAACATCCCAGGTAACGACACAGATACAGGAGTCGACAGGAACACTGGCGAAATTTATCAACATCCCAGGTAACGTCAAAGATGCAGGAGTCGATAGGGACACTGGGGAAAGGTGTCAACATCCCAGGTAACGTAACAGATACAGGAGTAGACAGGGACACTGGGGAAAGATATCAACATCCCAGGTACCGTCACAGATACAGGAATCGACAGGGACACTGGGGAAAGGTATCAACATCCCAGGTAGCGTCAAAGATACAGGAGTCGACAGGGACACCGGGGAAAGGTATCAACATCACAGGTAACGTCACAGATACAGGAGTCGACAGGGACACTGGGAATATGTGTCGACAGGGACACTGGGGTAATGTCACAGATACAGGAGTCGACAGGGACACTGGGGAAGGGTGTCAACATCACAGGTAACGTGACAGATACAGGAGTCGACAGGGACACTGGGAATATGTGTCAACATCAATATCCCAGGTAACGTCACAGATACAGGAGTCGACAGGGACACTGGGAATATGTGTCGACAGGGACACTGTGGTAACGTCACAGATACAGGAGGCGACAGGGATGTTGATGTTGACAGGGACACTGAGGAAAGGTGACAGCTATAGGTGACGCCACGGACAGCTAGAGTGGATACTTTGTATCACAGATAGGCCCACAAGAGGATAGCGACAACATCCCATGTATACTGACATGACCGATTGAGGACGCGGCTAAACAGAGAACCGTTCACAATTTAGAAATAAAGATGTTCGTAAGTAACCAATACATATAAAACAACTTGAGGTAGGCATAGCTCAGGCCGATGACCGTAGGTACCCAGTACAAAATAGTTAGATAACACCTATCGTACAGTCCGATCAAAATTAAGCTTTTGATAGATATTAATGTTTTTCTTAATATAAGTACCTTTATCATATTTCGACAAATTGTCTAAATTGCAACTTTAATATGAATAAATTAAATAAATAAAAAATCCTTATTTGTCACTGATTTATAAATAAAAAAATATCCATCATAATGATATCGTTTCTCGCTATTCACCAGTCCTGGCTGGAATCTTCCGACTAGACGGAGCGCCACAATGTCAGTAACGTGGCCTTGTCCCGTGGTCGTGGACATCGGTATTGGTTTGTTTCGTACCTTCGGCCATTGGGAAACAATAAAACGTCGTCTGTTGACCTTGTGTAATAAATCCTACAGAGGTATACTGACACTGGCGACCATAACCTTGTTAACTATAGGTAAGTGCTACAATGACCTTATTCCAGGACACACAAGGAAATGGTCGTCTTTACTTATATTTATTTGTGTCCATTTCGAAAAAAGTATTCCATAAAAATAACACATTGTGATACTTTCTACATAATTATAGTTTGTTGAAAATTGAATGTTAAAAAAACCAAAAAAATTAGTCTGGTCGTCAAACTCAATGACCTTTACATTACAAAGCTTACACTTTATCAAAGGCCACAAAGGCTATGATTAAACAACGAATAAGGAAAGAAACGTGACTGGGAAGTTACTCTGAATCAGGAAAAACTTCTTCATTCGGTTGCTTCATATTTCTTATTCTATAAAGGGAGAACACTCCAAATAAAAACCTCTAGTGTGGAATTCTTCTTCGGTATATGAAAAATGTCCTTTGCCATACGTGCTGACCAAGTGCCATCTTAACGTATAACCGTCCCTATAGTCCTAGCTTGTAGTGTAAAGGTCACTTATTTGGTAAGTAAGATGGACCACCTCGCAAATTTTAATCGTAAATCGCTCGTGTTCCTCATAAATAGTGACAACATACGAAAGCAACGAAGTCTTGAAAATGGCAATGACAGCCAACTGGAACTGTTGCCAATCATAATTGCGAAGCTATCCTTAATTCAAATATATATTTTAAGTTAGAACCCGTTCTGTAATGGTTTCTTGATATAACTAAATAAACGGCATTCAAACACATGAAGGGGGGGGGGCGGGATAACGTTAGCCAGTTGACTTTATAAACCATGCTAATCAGGTAATCAAGATATTATGTATTTATATCAATAAAGTGACCAATCATAAACCATACATATCTAGTAAATTGTGGTAGCAGACGACATTATTCTCCCGCCATTTGTTTGAGTCTGCGTGTTGGTTAGGTACAAAATCAAACCCTTCTGGTTTTATAAACTACTAATATTTTGACAGATGATAGCTCGGCGATGTTATGAATGGGAAACCCGAGATGAAATGCGAATCTGATGAGCCCGATTAGTGTGTGTACGTCTGAAGATAGTTCATTGTCACGAAACTGTCGTAACGGGGAGTGGGGAGATAAAGGGAACATGGAGGATTCAGCCTTGGTTTGATACGGACCAACACACGAATGTAGTGCAAATAAAAAATACATATTAAAATAAATGCTATTATTCAGAGTGGAAACGAAAATGTTAAAAACTTAAGGGGAAGAGGAAGAAATTAGCTTTTGATTTAACTCGGAACAAAATCTACAATAATAATTGTTGACAGAGCCAGTCAAAAGTATTATTTTCACAGTGAGACTTTGTGTACGTTTTGGGCGAACATTACGACGATTATGTGAGTCTGCCTAGTTCAGTTACCCCTAATGGACCCTCTTTTGGCGACATTTGCTTAATATAACAATAAGATTTGTGCCCGAGGCAGTGTCTCGACCTCTGGAGTAACTTGGTGTCCACGTTAGATACGTACTGGCCGCGGGAAGCTCCTGATTCTATCTACACTCTGTCCCCTGACAGACCCACCTGTCCTCACAAACCTCCTCATACATATATGTATATCAAATGGCAATCACACGTCCGCCATACTTCTGCTGTAATGGTTAGTTCGATGTTGTTTTTATGGTGAAATAAACTACAATTTCTTAAAGCGTTAATGGGCAACGTCAAAAGTAAAAAGAAATCTTTTCCAAAGCATACAAGTCGTTCTTACAGTCCCAACAAATAATGTCCAGGCTAGTATATAACTGAAAGGACTGTGAATGGGCATCGTGTCAAAAGTGACCTTGGTTCCCACCAAAGCACTAAGATATCATTAGGCTAACAGGGGGCCTCATTCCGTAATCTTTTTTACCATCAAGAGGTTTGATGCAGGGATTTTAAGAAGCTTTTGATTCAAAACAGGTAGTCGTGTATATCCTAAATATGTTTCTTCAAGGAGGACACTTGGCTGTGAGCTCCCGGACAGAGGTCTGTGAACTCCCGGGGAGAGTTGGAATGAAATACCCGTAAGAAGATTACCTGCACTATACACTTAGTCCAGAGTCGGGTATTCCCAAGTCAGCCGACAAATGCTACATTCTATACAATATCGAGTTCTAGTTATTTGGATACAAGTGTCGAGCACCCCCTCCCGTCCTGTCTGTACAGAGTTGTGCTGATGGCACACACATCGAGCCAGCTTAGTTTAAAACGGATTGAAAACTAGTAAATTGTAACAGCAGGCCCTCAACGTCTTTTGTAAATTACACGGTGATCATACAGGGATACTTGGTACACCTATGTAAATGAATGAGGACCACCGACACTGACGTCATCAGGTACAAGTATTTATAATGGATCAACACGACACCAACCATCATCAAACAGTATCTCCTGAAATCTTATAAACATGCGTGTATCTATCTTTAGAATACATGTGCAACACCGTTTACAGAACACACGAGTATCTCTCTATATAACATCACGCAAGAGTATACGGACATTACCAGTATTAAGCATTTACAAATATATTCATAGTATGCGTTTTATCTAAATGAAATTATGTTTTCTTATCAAAACACATGGAAATATATAATATATACACCAATAACAATACTAGACTTACTTGTTCCGTACAGCTTACTCGGGTGGCACTAATAACTAACAAAAAGTCAACTTTTTGTGAATTTATTTTCTGCCCCGAGCTATATTTCTTATCGTCAATACTAAAGTTTGGGAATGTCAAATGCGAGTCGCGTTCTGATGGCGTTATTATCAAAGACCTTTGTAAAATGAAACGGAATGCTCCGAGCGAAGTCGGAAGTTATCAGCCGGCTCGATCTGGAAGGACAATGGCGGACCAACTGGCCTTTGTTCTGAACAACTACTTGGGA